TTTATTGTTATTGTTATTGTTGTCTAATTGAATTTTTTTGTTGAATATATTTTATTTAACAGTTGGATTGGGATGGGTGACAGAAAATATTGGATAAGTCCTTCTGGATTATGATGATACATTGTTAAGTTGTTATCACCGTTATAGGTGAGGTGACAAATTTTATATATATATCATCTATATTAAAATATGATGATTGTTGAAGTTATAAGTAAAACATTAAAAAATTTAGATAATAGATTCACCCATCATTTTTAATGAGCTATTTTGCTCACGCAATTTTTTAGAATAAATATGTCAAATATATGTAGCTTAAGCAAACATTGTGTATTAACATAGTTAGAGGAGGTCGATTAATTTATTAGGTATTTATAATATCCTACAAATCAAATTCAGTATAAAAAAAAATAATATTTATCTCAAAGTGACGGAAAATTGGAATTGAGATTTAATTAATGAGCGAGTAATTCAAAATTGAAGCCGCAATTATTTGTGGATATCTAATATTCTTGATTGTACATTAAAAAAATATGAAAGAATGATTTCAATGTTAAATACCTAACTAGGATTCGATTGTTCACATGCACAAATGTAATAAACTATTATAAGATATATATATATATATATATAATTTGAGAAATCATGACCAATTAATCAGTTGAAAAAAAATTATTATTTTAAAGGGTTTGGTTATATCATTAACAACAATTAATTTACCTAAAGATAACCACATAATGAGATAATAAACTATAATATTAATTTTAAAATAAAAAATTTGATTAAAAAATTTACTATATAATTGTTTATATTTTCGTAATTTCAGTGTAAATATACTTTGTTAGTTTTAATAATAATTATTATATAATAGAGTAGCTAAAAATATCTATAATTATTATTTGATTAATATAAAATGCAACAGTTTTTGTCATAATTACCCTAAATAAAGAGTGGGAACCAAAATTTTTTTACATTAAATTATTTGTCTCTCTTTATAGAATATAGAAAAAAAAAATAGAATTGTAACGTCTTTTGGAGAGAAATTATTAAGGTCTTATTAATTGCTTTGCTAGCAATTATATATATATATATAGATGCAGCTTTTGGGATATAGAAATAATGTAATTCGTTATTACACATTATTGCCATACAAATTTAAAGATTTGAAATATATAAAAATCTTAAAATAATTATGTTAACAAATTTTCTTTATCAGTATTTTTTTTGTATTTCGGCGAAAAAAAATCAAACACTATATTTAATAAATTCTTAACTTTTCTTTGGTGTATATTAATAAACAAATAAATGTGGATTACATCCTCTGTAACACCGTATATTTAGTGTATTTTGTTTATAAAATAATTCAATCAATACTCAATCCATACTAAAAATCTACCTCAATTTTACGTGAAACTTTTATCCGAAAATAAATATAATATTAATCAATTATTTTTATACATCACATCAACTTTAATTCATTATACATGCACTTACATAATTTTATTTAACTAATCACTTCACATAATCCCTCTCACTTTTACATTAAATGAATTTTAATTATTTTATTTTAAATATTATTTCTATATAGATTCAAAATCTTATTAACAACTAATCATGTTTTTTTAATAAAATTAAAACCTCGTTCAAAAAAGATAAACTGATTTTAAATTTATATCTAAACATTCTGATATGCATATAGATACTTTGTTCAGCTTTTGCACCATATTTTCAGGCACATAGTATTTGGATGACGTGTCAGGTGAAATTGGGGCTGTCAAGCCAGTTAAACAGAGTCACATTGACAGCCTATGTACAACTTGGTAAGCCACCAGTCAAGTAAATTTATAAAATCATAATGAATTTCCGGAAAAAAAAACAAAAAATAAAACAAAACCACAATTATAAGAGCATTTTTAACAATAAAACCTCTATAAACCTCCTTTTACAATTTCCAAATCCCAACATCGCACATCATTCAAAACCTCATTCTTACTCCTATACTCATAGAAAAATGCTACATTACCAACCTAGTGTACAACTAGGTTGACAATACGAGTGAAAACATCTACTTAATTATTTTTTTATTTTTATTTTTTTGAATGTTTTCACTTGTGGTGTCAATCTAGTTGTATACTAGGTTGATAATCCCCTCTATATATAATTTCAGAATGCACTGAGCCTACGTGGCAAACTCTCATTCTTCAAAATCTTATTTGATAAAAAATCATGCTTTGGAGTTAGGCTTAAATATAAATTAATATTTGTATTAATTGTATTTTACGGAAATGATAAGGAGCCATCCGATGGTTCCGTTATGGAGCCATCGGATGGACTAGGATTGAATTGTATTAATTGTATTTTAATATCATTTTCTATTATAACTATTGAATTGCAAATATATTTTAAAAGTTAATAACTTTTGTATTTTTTATCGGTTTTACATATATAATATATCAAATTAATCATCTTTTGATGACCTTCGATTTGACATTCTTATTGTATATATAAAATAAATAACTTATATTTATTTTTATAATAATAATAAAATTATCTATTAAAATTAATTAGAAAATAAAATTATTTATCAATTAATATATTTATGTTTAATATCGTTATATGTTATAAGGTAGAAAAGTTATTATAATATAACACATAAGTCGCACAAGTAACATGTGTCATACTAAAATATATAATAATATATGCTCTCCCCTATTTTTATTATTCGTCACTTTAGCTTAATTGATCATTGATAAAATAAATGTCATTTTCGATATTTTATTCATATTTGTCCATTTTTAACCCTCCATCTAATACATAATGTCTCTTTATATCCCATCTCATAACATCCATTAAATAGGGTTAATATTGTCAAGAAAAACAAACTTAATTAGTATGTTGCATTTGAATTTATATTATGAAGTCCGTTTGTATTTTACTATTTACTTATATATATGTATATATATATATATATATATAAAACAAAACAGTAATATATATCCTTATAAATAAAATTTAAAATTATTTATCAAACTAAACTAATTTTTATCAATTCATATATTTATGTTTAATGTAGTTATAGGTTATAAGGTAGAAAATTTATTATAATATAACACATATAAGTCGCACAAGTAACATGTATCATACTAAAATATATAATAATATATACTCCCTCCTATTTTTATTATTTGTCACTTTGGGTTAATTGATTATTGATAAAATAAATGTCGTTTTAGATATTTTGTTCATATTTTTTTATTTTTAACCCTCCATCTAATACACAGTGTCTCTTCATATCCTATCCCATAAAATCCATTAAATAGGGTTAATATTGTCAAGAAAAAAATCTTAATTAGTATGTTGCATTTGAATTGATATTATGAAATCCGTTTGTATTTTACTATTTATTATATATATATATATATATATATATATATATGATACAAAACAGTAATATATATCCTTATAAATATAATTTAAATTTATTTATCAAACTAAATTAAATTATATCAAATAAAACTATAAATTATATTATAAAGTAATAGAAATTGGTATGTATTCTTGTAAAAATAATATTTATTTCAAATCTAATTGGTATGTTGTCAATGTAATAAAAATAAATAATTATTTATATAAATTCTAAAATTACATATAAAGTTAAAAAAACTGTGAAGTACGATTGATACGACACTTGATGTATTAAACATCTAATTAAGTAAAAAACAATTAATCTATTTTGCTTAATATTAAATAAACATATTCTACACTTATGCATATACATCTCACCATGTTATTTCTATTTATTTAAGATATATATTTTTATACTTACGTAATAGTACATAATATCGATAATTTTATATGATATACGTAAATAAATTCAACACGAGTTGACATTTTCATTTAATGTACGGGTGTTTAATTATTATGATTAAAAAAATATAATTTGACATTTAATTAAAACCAAACGTAATGTTTTATATGAAGTTAAATTTTTTTAGTTTTTAAGAAAATAAAAAATTTAATATTTTTTACAAAAACTTTCTAATTCAACACTCGTGTAGTACACGGGTATTGTACTAGTGTAGCATTACTCATACTCATAAACTTCCAATAATAATAAACCTCGTAAACATACTTTTTAGTGGGTCCACATGTTTCCCACTTACTTTTATTAATATTATACTCTTATATTTTATTAAAATATTTCAAAATACAATTCCACCTTTTATTTTAATTCAATCTAAATATTTTATATATTTATCATAATTTCATATAAAACATAATATAGTTATATATAATTATATTACATTATTTATAACCATAGAGTATCAATTATACAACGATGTAAAATTTTATTTAGAAAAACTATGAAACATGTAAATTATAGTGTTGAAAACTAAAATTAAAATTTTATTTATAATTGTTTAAGTAGAGGCAAAAGGAAAATTTTTACAAAAGTAAAATTTACAAATAGAATTCGTGATTAAACAAGCATAACCAAAAACTGAAATAGAAAATTGGCAAATCAAATAAATAAGGAAAAAAAAAAATTTAAGTGGGGTGACAATTTGGCAAAGTGGGCTAACCACTCTATCACATGAGCTTACGTGCGTGGGATGTACGCACAAAATTCATAGTGGAAGTGAATTCCACTTTATGTTCCATACTCACTTATTCTTTATTTAATAATTATTTTTTGGAGGTTTAATGCAGCGTTGAACTGTCAAACCCGTTTTAAGATAACAAACCTCAAACCTCATTAAAATAATGGTAAACTTGTGGAGGTGGACTTTTTAAACCTTGTCAAAATCTCCCGTTAAAGTTATAATGATTGTAATAAAAGGGAGCTGCAATTTGAAATTGCCACATAAATTTTGACCCTTCCCTTGATGGTTTGTTAGTCATTGTCACATTATTTTGTTATTTATTGGCCTCTTATTTAATTACTTATTACTTCTGTATATAAACATGGGAAAAAGTCTATAATCAATGTTGCACAATACGCACTTGTTTTATTGGAACTGTGCATATGCTAAGAACAGAGTTAAATGAAATTTCAAAATTTCATAATCACGTGTGAACAAAAGAACATCAAATTCAAATTACAGAATAAAATACTCAAGGGGCATGAATATTTCTGCAAAGCAAGCCAAAATTCCTATAACATGATTTATTTTTAAGTCAACCATTAATAATTTGGGGGGAGAATTTGGGGGGAGAATTATGACGAATTAAAAACATGATTTGTCTCAGGCTTTGAATGCAATTATGATTTATGCACAACTATTAGCACTGACTATTATTACAAGTTAGGTAATTTCTAAACAAGTTCGTTAATTTTGCTTATCGTGTGACTCATCTCCCTTATGAGACAACTAATAACGAACATTTGAAAGAAACATTAATGATTCTTGTTCTTAATGGGCCGCCCCGAGTACCTATTAAAATATTCTTTAATAGTTGGGCTGTCATTAACTTTGTAGCCCAGATCACGTGCTCATGATAACACGTTTGGCTATTGGGCCAAGTGGTTAGAAAACAATTGAGCCGAAAATATTGTGGACCAAATCAAGTACGAACATGATGTAGGCAGAAGTGTACGCGTGGGACGATATTAATGAAATCGCAATTTTAAGAAAACCTACACAGGATATCAATTTATATTTTATTCAAAATTTATCACTCAACAATAAAGCATATGAGTCCTTTAAATAAGGCTCGCAATATTAAAACCTAACTTATTTTATAAGTTAATAAATATAATAATAATATAATTTTAATAATAAATGTTGTCCACCAAGCTAACTTGTCTATACCATTCTCCCTAGGTTCGGAAGGTTTCGCCGTCGAAGCCGATCGAATCCTGCGAAGTCGGCGACGTCCCGTGCAAACCCCTAATCGCGTCGGGGACGATAGCCGCCAGCGAAGGCTGTCTCCTAGTGCCAGCCCCTGTCGCTGCGTTGATCGTTGCCGTTCGCGAAGACCGGGCCCAGTCACTGCATATCACGACCGCTATGCGCAACAAAGGGCTCAGACTCGACGTGCAAAGGTTGATAATCGTCGAAGGGGTTTGCCTCCGAGATTGTCTACTCACCGTCTTCGTCGCCAGACGGTGGTTATGGAGATCTCTGACGGGGCGTCCCGCCTAGACCACGGCTAGGTATGATATGATTTTTATACTCCGTCGAACTTTTAATACCTAAAGTCCATTATAGGGGATCGGTTTATTATTTGGTACATTTTTTTACATAATATATAAAGATGATTTTACAGCATTAGGGGGAGATATGAGCATAAGTTTATTAATGCCGTGAAATATGTAGAATATTAATGTTTTCATTATTTGAACCACGCAATAAAAATTGAACTTGAAGTTCATATTATATTTCTGCCAAGAGAAATCTATAGTAATAATGAAGTGACCAATATATATAAATGTACCACAAAGTAAGCAAATTCCCTAGGGAATGATTGACTCAATGCTTGAAGCATAAGGTGATATAATTAATGATGTATGAAAGTCCGCGAATGTATATTTAAGAATTAACACTCTTTTAAACTCCTAAAGAGTTGATCCAGTACATCTTGCACGTGAATCGAACCATTATAGTACTGGAAATGCGGGATGACCAAAATTAGATGTTATGGGAAATGATTATAAATATGACTAGTAAATATGAAGTTGCATATATGGTTGAGAGAAAAATATACATTGAATATTAGTTGTCGACAACATACTGACCTATGTGATTTCTTTACTATCTCAAATAATGATCCGGATCAAAAGAATGAAAGTGCTAGAAGCGCTTAAGTTGATTGAGATAGAAAGAAAAATTGAGGCCGAGCTTTCACTCGCTACACGATATATCCCAAGAGGATAGCATATCCCATAAGGATAATGAATATTTATATGAAACATGTGATATGGTGGTATGATGTAGATATAGCGAAATTATGCTCATGAGTTCATGCAGAGACCCAAATATTTATTTAGATAAGTTCTCTCATTAACCAACCAATCTACTTGAATCTCTTTCTAGAGATGTAAAATTATAACACCAATGAGTGTCAAATATATGGAATTGAACAAAGAGAGATAAAGATCCAAAGAAACAAATGAGGATGGTATAATACCTGAAGTTCCAATGGAGTTGAAGTCCACAAACGACCTGAAGTTTATTTACTAAGCGCAATTGTGCTGAACTTTTATCTCGCAAACTGCATCAGGCCTGATACTGCATTTGCGATGAATTTGCTAGCAAGATTTACTATTTCTCTCCTTAAAGAGATGTCGTGATAAATTTGAGAATATCTCATTATACTTTCATGTATGTTGAGTTATCTTTGGACTTATATGATATTGGTGAATAAGTACATCAATTGTATTGGGTCATAGATTGGTTATATATCTCTGAAATGGCATTAACCCTTTATCACTTTTATTGAGATTTTCCCACAATTATATCGAAGATAATATAGTTTGTGTTACACAATTAAATTAATTATCGAAATATATTGGAATATATATTAACTCCGGAAGAGCAATGAAAGTATTATGACGATTCATTTTTAGAAAGCTCTTACATTGAGGGGAGCAACAAACAATTATAAATTAATGTGACTTGAAAGGCTCTTGCCTTCAGGGGAAGGGATAAATAAATCCCGAAGATCGAGCCCGAAAGACTAATAGTAATTGTAATCTTAAAAATTAGGCCCTGTTGGCTGGTGCTGTACTTTTTTTTTCCCTTAACTAAGTTTTTTTCCACTAGATTTTACTTAGTAAGGTTTTTACTTTTTAACGAGGCAGTAAGTGTAACACATAAATTTGCATATGTCATGTACTCTTTTCCTCGACTACTTTTTCCTATAGGGTTTTGTAGCGATGTTTTTAACGCGGCATAGACATGAAGCGGTAATGTCCAAGGGGACTATTACAAATATATTTTCATATGGACATTACTAAAATACTTATTGGGCCTGATGCCCATTAGCTAGGTGACTAGGGTTTAGGTTTCTATCTTGTATTTATAAAAGTGAAGACATCGATTAATAAGATACATGTTTTGTCTGCTCTACTCTTCTGTTCTCTCTACTGTTATTATCTCCTTATATGTTTTGTGGATGACTTTCCTTAGATTGATGAATGCTTAAGGATTTCCGTTTACAACAACAAGTAATTAATGAATTATTCTTTTGGTAACAAAATTTAATTGGTTAATATTAACTTTATTAGCCGTAAAGTTGATAATAGGGGTATTATTAAAAATAAAGTTTACTTGAGTGTTTTTAAAAAAAGTATGACTAGAGCGATAAGAGGAGTAAATATCTCTTTGTAAATGTATAATGTCCCGATGATAAGGGTGTGTTTGTAAAAAGAAAAATTCAATCAAATTAACTCAAAGTGAGTTTTTTTAGTTAACTATCGTTAATTTAGAAAAAGTAGTATAGTTAGTTGTTAATGAGATTTTGAGAGTATATTAAAATAATATTTAAAATAAAATAATTAAAGTTGATTTGATGTAAAAGTAAGAGAGAGATTATATGAAATGATGGTTAGTTAAAATTATGTGAGTTGATGAATAGTGAATTAAAGTTGATATGATGTATAAAAATGATTGGTTGTTATTATTTAATTATATCGAAAATATTGAGGATAGTGAGTTGAGTTAGATTTTGAGTATGAATTAATATGGTTTGAGTAAATTCTTTTACAAACACACCCTAAGAGTGTACTTTTGTTGCTTATTAATTTTATGTGTCAAATTCTAGTGTTTTAATTATATGTGTAATTTCTTTTTGTGTGTTTCATAGTAGTCCTTGTATTTTAAATGTAAATAATAATGCATTTTTTAAATTTTTTTTGAAATTTAAATAAAAAATTTCTTTTATTTTTTTTTTCTTTCAAAATTATTAGCACTCTGTACAATCATGCGCGTTACTAGTTATTAAAACCTTCTATCCATCAATAAGGTGTACTTAGTTAAAAAAAATATTAATGTGTAAAAGTAATGTAATTATGACAAGTATTATTTTGAAATGAAACATGAATTAGAACATGTAAACAAATGATTTGAGAGCGCTATTAGAAATGTGATTTTGTAAAAAAGTTGGTCTAGTCGAAAAAGTAATAAGATGATTAAAATAATAAAATATGCATTGATAAAGTTAGTAAGTAAAAATATGTGAATGGATGAATAATATTTTTTTTATTAAAAAATGCATAACAAATACTATTTTTTGTATTTTTATTTTATTTTTCAGTTTCAATAAAATAAATTTTAAGTGGGACATAAAAGACTAAAGAAAATTTTGTATATCAAATGGCTGCCTTTAATATTCTCCCCAAAGAAGCAGTGGATACATGCTTGAATAAAAATGACAAAAAAAAGGGACATTTGCCTTTATCCTATGAGCCTAGTATACTATATTTTATAACAACTATATAATTATGTTTATTTATATATTTTAGAATTATTATTGATAAACAAAAGTGAAAAAAAAAAGATTGGTAAACTCAATTGAGAAGAATGCAGAACATTAGCAACCGAATGCAGAAATTGAATCAAAACTTAGTCACACATTACATCAGTTCCATTTCCACCATATACAAACAGCAAGAATTTTTTGTGACTTAAAATGAATACTGAAAAACAAAAATAAACCANCTCGCCGCGGCCTTCCTCGTCAGCTCCTCCAGCGCCGCCGCGTACTGCTCCATATCCTCCACCCCCATCCCGTCCACCGCCGCGTCCCACCAGAATTCACCGCCTGCCGCCGCAGCCGCCGCCCCGATCGCCTCCTGCCGCCGCCTCTCAGCCTCAAGCTCCGCGCACAGGCCCGCGTACCGCGCCTCCATGTCTCGCGGCGCGCGGGCCTCTCCGGAAGCGGCGGCGCCGCCGCCGGAGAGAAAGCGGTCGATGACGGAATCGACTGCGGGGTGGCCGAAGGTGAAGACGCGCTTCCCCTCGGAATGGACGATGACGGCGACCTCGGCGCCGGTGAGGACGCAGAGCTCGCTGGCCTTGCGGAAGATGCCCGGCCGCCGCTTGGAGAAGGTGACCTGGCGGCGGTTTTTGTCCTCGATTTTCGCAATCGAGATCTTCTGCCGCCCCTGGCTAGTCCGCTTGCCGCCGGATTTTGGGATCTCCATTTTTCGGACAGACAAAAGCCCTAAAATCTCGTACCGATGAGAAAAATGGTGAGTGTCGAAGAAGAATGTGAATTGATTTGGTAATAATGAAAGGAATGAATAATGTGAAGTGCTTAATAAGGCTTCTTGATTTCGGGAGATTCTCTGAAAATCATTACAACGGTAAAATTTGGGTTGTTTATGGTAAGTTTGTGTGCATGCAATTAATGGGAGATATGTTCGATACGCTGATTGCCCTTTCCTTTTTCTGTTTTTCCTTGTCCGAAAAGCAAAACGTACCTTTGCGAAAATGGTGTTAAAAATATTTTACCAATATTAGTTACGGAAAAAATAAAAAGAAAAAAAGCACGAAAAAGTTTACGATCGAGTTATACTTATACCACACACGCAACTCCGTTGCTGCTTAATCGAATTTAGAAAACCCAGTTTACCTGGTAAAGCTTGATACTACAACCCAGTTTACCGGGTAAAAATATTCATATCATAATATAGAAAAATTTTAATATCAAGTGCTAATTAAGTTAAACAATATTTCATTAGATTATTTTAACATCTTTAAATCAATTAAAAAAATGAAAATTTTAATTAAGTTAAACTGTAATTTATTCATAATGGACTGTGATAACATTTTTTAAATAAAATATATAGTTGTAGCATCGACTTTTAAGTTTTAACATTATTCGATGGATAAAGCTTTTCTGGTATCTCAACTGAAAGTTACCACTACGTTTACATACGAGACCAGTGAAAAATAAAAAAGTGGACCGTTTCACAAGGACTGAGACATATTTAAATCGGTTCAATTTCAAATCGACATTTTCAAAGTGAGGGATCAAATTATTATTATTTTTTTTTTCTCCTCCTCCTAACTCAACAAAAGAGCTTTTGTTGCAATTTGATATTTTTTTTTAAATAAAAAAAGAGATAAAAATTTCTGTCAAAATCGCCGCCACCCGCCACCTCCGACCACCGCCATCCGCGACGAGCTAAGAAGCTGCCGTGGTTAAGGATTTGCCGTCACGATTGTTCCACCATCCGCACCTCACAAGATGTCGTTGATTTAAGGTCCGCCAGCCACCGATCAGCGTCAGCCGCCACATCCACCTTACAAATCTCTCAACGCCGCGGCCTACGGCGGATCACCTCTTCATCACTGTAGTTCTCCCTATGTTTCTTACACCTGCGCAGGTACACTTGAAACCCTAATTTTATTTTATGCCTGCTACTTGAAAAATTTAGGGGTTTATATTGTCGATAATGATTAGGTAGAATGTATTTTGCTTGCTCTCGCGCGCGGGTTGTGGCTTTGCAATTGAGATAAGATGCATATTTTGTTTTTTCGAATATAGCATAGAGATTTACTCTGTACGAATTAGACAGGTCGAAGCACGACCTGAAGGTTTCATCATGTATCAGCTTGAGAGACTTATTGTCATATTGTGTATGAGTTAGATAAGTAAGAGGTAAACCCCAATTTTTTTTAATCACAGTTCAGCCGTTCCTCTATAGGCTGTCAATATCATTTACGAAGTGAATCATCAGAGGTTTTACGTCAGGTACATTCCTGGCGCTTGGCAGGTAGTAGGAGCAAGAACTCACTCACCGAGGAAGTTGACAAAGGTCCGATTCACCGCTGGTTATTTGGTATGATTTTATCAGAGCTGAATTTGTTTCTTCAGAAAATACTTTGAGATGATTTTTATGAAAAAAATCCTTGCTGCTGCTTGCTTATTGATGGTGCTTTTGTGCATGTATTATTTGTGGTGTCTATTGTATCCTTTGTTTAAGTGCGATTGGATAGAGATTTTTTTTGGTTTTGAACCCATATCCAATCCAAAAAAATCCATATCCAATTGCACTAGTCAACCGAACCTGGAAGTTTTCGAACTTCAAGTTAATGTTGACAATCATATATATTAAATGCAGCTATGTATATAATGTGCTGTTACCTAGAACTTGCTAAATTCTAAGAAATAACATGCCTTTCTAATTGCTAGGCAGTTTCTTTCAGGAACTGCAATGGCTGATGTACTGAATGAGGTATGTAATACTTCTTCATAATCGTTATGGTCATGTTTCTTGATTACTGCGTTGCTGGATTAGTATGCTGCTTGGGTGTTCTCAATGAAGTATGCAATACTTTTCTTCTTAACTATCACTAATTATCGTTAAGAGTTGATAATCGTGTTTCTTGATTTATAATTTGTTGAGATCTTACTAATAAACTTTGATCTTTTGATGTTGTTATATATACCTCTAGTACAGTGTATTTTGTTTTGGCCTTCAGATAATTGCCATAATTGGTAACATAATTATACGCTAGTTCGATATTCTGTGAATTGACCTATAAAAATTCTCCTAAAAGGTTTTAATATTCTATCAGAAATGACATATATTATGGCCCCCTTTTTAGTTATATAGAAAACAAAGATTCTTAATAATTACTGAAGTCTTTAGCTATTAATTGTTTGTTTATTTGATAGTTACGTATGTTTCTTGGAACTAATTTCCCTAAAGTGGAATTCTATCTTTTGGGCTCAATAATCTGTAAATTATGCTGAACGAGCCTCTTGTGGTAGAGTTTATACATGAGTGCAAACCTATAATTCTATAATTGATTGGAAGGGAAAATATAAGTTGATTAATGAGTAACTGATCCAACATTTAGCATCGAGAAAAAGGAAAAGTGGAAAAATAAAAGGAACAAAAAATCATTTACAGTTAAGAAGTAATGTTACTTTTCTAAATTCCGACTCTTACTGGTTATATTCATCTATTAAGCATAAGTGAAACTAATACCACACTCTTAAAACTATACTCATAATATAATGCTTCCTCCTCGAAAATTTTTCATAAGGGTGGTCTTAGCTGGATTCCTAGTAAACTTAGTGGTTAAGCTTGGATTCATATACACCGTTTTTATGTGGAGTATTGCTCGTAGTCATTGGTTGAGTCGAATTGATTAGTAATCTGTTTAAGTGGTATTATTTTGGATTATTATTTCTTTATGGGCTGACATACANGTAGTGTTTACTACAATTCTATCATTATTAACCAATCAAAAGAATGATGACTGACCACATTAAAAGAAAGCAATTTATCAACCTGTCGATTGACAGGAAAAGATGCTAATATGTTCGTGTTCTCTACCATTGATTGACTACACAAGTGGAAATATTTTGTTGGACTAATTTTGCGCATATATAACTATGTTACTATGTATGTTATGTTTCTGCACAAAAGAAGCTTGACTGTAATTTTGGTGTAATTGACAAATTTATAGCCACAAATTTACTTTTTGATGACTTTGGCATAGATTTAAAAGGTTAGCATCGGTTTAAGGTTTCCATATAATATTTTTTATTTTTAAATATTCTTTACTAGCTTCTGCATTGGTGAAAATTATATTGCAACATGATGAATTTTTTTTAACTAGTTTCTACATTGGTTAATGTACAAATTTCCATTGAAGGGATAGAACAACCCGATTTAGATACCTATTTTACAATATTAGTTGTCTGAACCACATACTGCAACTTACAAGATCCGATTATAAACAACGGATGTTAATAATATGGTTTCACCCAATGTAAATATATATCTCACTTTCTACATTGGTTGGATATAGATCAGATGAACAATCAATATTAAAAGTCTAATTTACCTGATTCTAAAAGTTTTTTATGTACTAGTATATCTGATTACATTTTCGTGATAATATAAAATTTATCCGATTTTAAAAGTATTTTTATGCACTAATATTTCATATTACGCAGATGCGAATTTCAAGAATGTAGAATATAAAAGGCTCCTGATTGCATAACCTCCTACAAGAAAGAATGAATGCTATATGTGCCAAGGTGTTGATGCAAATTAAACGAAATGGTAAGCATTTAAAAAACTAGTGTTATGGATTGTGGTAATGTGTTCAAATCCCTGTGAACTTGTAACAACCTAACCTACCGTAAATCATATATGAAAGTGTTT